AAATTGCATAAATAAGCTTTAAAAGAAAATGACTTTAAATATTAAATAACTAAAAGAATTATTCACTAACTCAAATTCTTATAACAAAAATTTATTTAGACACAAATAAACATTTGAACATAAAACTTTTTTTATTCTTTCTGAGAAGAATTTTATCCACAATAAGTTTTGATGTGATTCCATACCATACACAATCTGAGAAACTTTGGAAACAAGTTGTACATAATGTCTAAAAACTTTCTGAATTAGAAGAAAAATCATTGATGTATTCTCTTATCTGATTTTATCAAAAATATTTGAGCTCGTACCATATTTGAGCAACTAAGGTAATTTCTAGAACTTTAATAATTCTGTTTATAGTTTGACCACTTGTTTTAATATTTCGAATTTCAAATAACCTCTGCATAAGTTTTAAATGGAGAAATTTCTTTTGTTTGAGTTTGTCTAAAACAAAAATTGATCTGATTTTTGGATTAATAAATAGTCCTAGTAAACCTAGCATAAGTGTATTTTTCTATTTAGCTCAATAACAAACTTTGGAAATTTTTAAACACTTTAAATTCCTGATGATTTTCTTTCAGGCTCCAATGTCTAAAAGAAAATTTGTAAAATTATTCTAAAAAGTTAATTTTGTTTATTAACTTTCATTCATGAAAACCTATATACATATATGTGTATATATATATATATATATATATATATATATATATATATATATATATATATATATATATATATATATATATATATATATATATATATATATATATATATATATATATATATATATATATATATATATATATATATATATATATATATATATATATATATATATATATATATATATATATATATATATATATATATATATATATATATATATATATATATATATATATATATATATATATATATATATATATATATATATATATATATATATATATGTATATATATATGAAGAATAAAACTAGATAAGTAAAAATATTTATCTAGTTTTATTCTTTAACAACGTGTTTCTCCATCAGTAGGTTCATTAGGAAGGTTTATCAGTAGGTTCAATAGTTGAGCAGGCTTCCTGATAAACCTACTGATGGAGAAACAAGCTCTCGTAGATAAAATTAGATTAGTGTTTTTACTAATTTATTATTGCTATATTGTTATTAAACTATATAGTCTTTAAGAACATTGAGCACTCTCTCTGCATATATTTCTCTCTCTCTTTATATATATATATATATATATATATATATATATATATATATATATATATATATATATATATATATATATATATATATATATATATATATATATATAAATGTATAAAATTGCTTTTGCCTCATTGCTTTTCAATAACTTTCAAAGTTTCAGTGATCAAAATAAATCAAATCAAATATATTCTGAATAAAGTTATTTACAAATAGTAATATGAAATAAACACCTGTAAAATTCAATACTAACAAAATGATGCTAATATTATTAGCATCATTTTATTATTAAGTAAAGGATTATTAGTAATAATTATAATGCAAGTAGGAGTAAATAAAAATAATAGTTGTAATAACAGCGATTAAAAGAATCAGTAAAGATTATAAAAAGTATACACCATACTATTTTAACAATAATAATAACAAAAATAACAGTAAAAATAACAACAACAATAATAAAAATAATGACAACAGTAATATAATAAAAACAGTAATAGAAAAAAAAATTATGACAATATTAACAACAATAAAATTAATTATATTTATAATGATAAAAGTATAGTAATAATAATATTAACAATTATAGTGATGAAGAGAAAATACTTGAGTTTAAGAAAGATTAAATAATAAATAACTGGTTATTTCTACTTTATAACTTTAAGTTTTTTTTAGAAAAATATTGCTTATAAATATTATACTTTTCTTCTACTTATTATTTATAACTCTAACTCTCAGCGTCTATCTATCTAATTTTCTTTTTCTCTTTTCTGTTATGTTTTAATATTTTTTGTTAAATTTAATAAGTTTCACAAAAAATATTAAATCACAACAGAAAAGAAAAAAATTAGATAAACAAAAGCTCAGAATTAGGGTTATAAATAATAATTTGAATGAAAGTATAAAGTTTATAAGCAATGTTTTTCTAAAAAGTAGTTAATGAGAGCAGTTTTAAATTTTGAGAATGACTTACATTTCTTACATGACAAATTCAGTAAAAAAAAAATTAACAAAGAAATTGCTTGAAATTAAAATTTACCAAGAAATGTGCACTTAATTAAAATGAATGAATTTTTGATAAGTTTTCAATTCAAGATAAGTACTTTGAAAGGTTCTAAACCAGAGGTTTCTTTAACTAAATATTCATATCTCTGGATCTTCAACAAAAATTTCCGTAGGTCGCTCCTCCGGAACATTTATCGCCTGTAAATCTTTCGGCTGTAGAAATTTATCGACGGTAATTTTGAAAAAATTTTTATAACATTGAAACAAATCATTTACGCCGATAAAATTTACAGCCGGTAGCATTTTACGCCGATAAAAAGTTTTATAACATTGACCCCTGATTGGAAAAAAAGGAAAGGGCAGGACACAGTTATTTGCTGCTAAAGTTCTAAGAACCGGCTCGCTTTTTGTGTTTAAAATATTACAAAATAATTTTTTTTAGAAAAATGTTTTAAATTGCATTTTGGTTAGAAGTAGGTGGAATTATTGTGGCGAGCCACAATTCTGAGCCACAATTGAACATATGATGTAGCACCCAACAGATTTAACAACAAGCTCTTTAAATTTAAGGCTCTTAATGCTCATAAGACTCCTTATGTTTTATTAATAATTCTCATTAAACCTAAAATATGTCTAATACTTAAATTTAATCTTTTTAGCGCATTTTTGAGTATTTGTTTATAATGTGTTTTTTGTACATTTGATCTTTTAAGGAAGGTCATTTTTATTATATCCTATGTTGTTGTCAACAAAATCTTTAAAATTATAAATGCAGATTTTAATCTTAAGAATTTAGAGTCCTAAAATCCTTCTGCTCTCCATGGATAGATATTTTCATTTAATTTCAAAATAGTTGGTTAAATTATACAATTAATAAACTATGTGCTCAAACCCACTGCGTGCGGGAACTTGAAATTTAAAAAAAAAAATTTTTTTGAAAATTCTAGATATAGAAGTCTTTTTTTAGAAATTGATGATTGTGCCTCTCTATTTTTTTTTAATTTTATATAAGTTTGCATGTCGGCAATTTAATGAAACCTTGCCCACATCCCCACTAAAATTGTTAACAGCTGACAGGCTGTTTATAAACGTACACCGCTGCATTATGCATCATTAGATTGCTTCGTCATTCAACTACAAAATTATGCACACTGTTCTTATTTTTATAAGAGTGTTTTACATTATCATTAAAAATTGCACAGGGTATCAAAAGCACCAAGTCACGCTGACTTGAACTTAATCTTGTCACTGGGCAATATTACATACAGGTTTACTTTTAAGCAACATTATTAAAGAAGTCTAAAGTATGATTTTAATGTAGCAGTAAATGATCTTGTTCCAGATACCTATTACAATTGCTCTATGGTAGCTTGTACCATAATGGGTTGTGGTCCACCAGCAATGAAGTTATCTATAAAAATTTTATTTAAAAAGTAATATTTAGCGATATATTTAAAGATATATTATATTAGAATAGTACATACATTAACTATAGAATTATTTAGCGGAAACAAAGAGTTTTCTAAAATTGAGTTTTTTTTTTGTTTCAATTTATCCTTATTTTTTTCAATAACTTCCTTCTTGGATTTATGATTTTTCTTTTTTTCAAGACTTTTAGCTGTTTTCTTATTTCTGGTTCAATAATACTTGCTGAAGCTACATGTGAAACATCAACATCATCTAATTTTGCTGACCTAACTCTATGGCACTCTCATGTACTTTCATACTTTTATTCTCATTTATCCTAATGCACTAAATATATTCTCTGTGTAATTGTAGCAATGATTTACATCTCCAACTAGTTAAATAATATTATAGTAAAAAATTTATATTAATTTAACAAATTTTTCAAACTTTATGAACGCTACATGTATTAACATATAGTAAAAATTATATACTAATATGTACTTAACTATATACTAATATGTCCTAGGTGCGGGTAACGTGTAGGGGTAATTTCCAGGACATGAAGTTACCAAGTAAATGAATAATTCCAAGAAAGTTTAAATTAAATCTCCGAAATATTAGTATCTATAACATGATTAATCTATTCTCGCTCGCCAGGATAAGGTTGGTTGCATTGGGCAAGAATATATTTGTTCTGTGGGCAAGATTGAGTAACTTTGGGTAGATTAAGCAGAAAATAATTTTAAATATAATTTATCATTTCAAATAAAATAAACTTTAATATTTTTACAGAATAAATAATGGACAACAAAATAAAACTGTAGCTTAAAGTGCACAACAGCATATTTATTGAGTTGATTTGGATTATCTAGTGAAATCAGCAAATTTAAAAACTTAAAAACCAAAAATCAATAAAATTTATTTAACAGATATTTCTTTATGTACGATTTTTTGAGGTCAATTTTTTTTTAATTTTGACGGAGACTGGTTTGCTGTTCTATTTAAGTGTTTTTGTGTTGATGTAGTAGTTCACTGACTTATAAGCAACTAAAGATAAAGATTGAGTCATGTGCAAAAAAACATCATGTTACCCTAAGTATACTATTTTATTTAATAAAATGTGGATATTTTATAAGTTTTTATTATTTCCCTAACAAACACTCAATGGGCCTTATTAGCCTCACTTGAGGGTAATAAAGCTCAGTTCAATAATACTATAAAATATCAAGAAAATGTAGCTATCTTATACAGAATTTTTGTTTAAATTTCTTTTAACATTTTCTTTTATCAATAATTAGGTAGCTAAGATATAAATAGAAAGCTCATTGGTAGCAACAAAATGAAAAAAGTAAATGTTTTTTACATGTAAAAGTTAAATTTTACATGCAAAAAACATTTTTTTAATTAAAATAAAAAAATTTAGTCAATTTAGAAATGCTAGTTTTTCTTCATCTTCACAATCGTATCCAACGCATTGTTCATGGTACCAAACACTGCATCTACAACACATTGATTTTTTCTCCACAGAATTTTCTTAGCATAAGAAACAAAACCAATCGTTCAAATCCACTGAATTTACAGATTTAATTTTATTAATTTTTTCTGCCCTTTACTGCTATTTTTCATGTTTCACTCCCTTACTGCCAAATTGTGCGAAAGATTTTTTTGTCACTGGTTTAGCAAGAAAGTTAAAGCTTTTTTTGTGGCTCACTTTAGGTAATTTTTTTTTTACAGAGCTTTCTATTAGCTTAGTGAAACTTTTATTATGTCTTGACAAATTTGACGGTGTGTCAGTAGTCGAGTATAGTCCAACTTGGTAAAACTTATAATCTTTCTATCTGGTTTTGTCCTGCAGAATTTGACAACTTTTTTGTCCTAATACGTTTTTAATACTTTAAAAATAGATTTAACTTAGGTTGAAGTTTATGACTTATATTGTTTGGTAAGTGTAAAAATGAATACCATAGCTTTCTGCTTTTTCAACAATTTCTACACTAATGTGTGAAGCAGCTCCATCAACAAAAATAATAACATCGTCATTATATTTATGTTTGTTTAAGTGCTCTAACCAGGTGGCAAATTTTACTTGTATTCTTCTTTTATTCGTAATTCAATCAATCGAACCATTCAGGGCATTGCGGTACCCAGAGTATTTGTACACCCAGCATTTTTTATATTGTCAGCATGTTCTTGGGCAATAATATGGACTCACATTGTGATGACAATACAGCTTGCTGGTTATGCATATATATATATATATATATATATATATATATATATATATATATATATATATATATATATATATATATATATATATATATATATATATATATATATATATATATATATATATATATATATATATACATTATATATATGCAAGTTTACACTAAATCTTGCAAACATAATTAATAATAAATAGTTAGAAACCAAAAAATAAAAACCCTAACAACTTTTTTGTAAATATTTTTTATAAAAAGGTTTTTAGGGCTGAGAGACCGCTAAGTTTGCGCAGAATGCATTGCTTGCAGTAAAAGTCCAAATATTTTATACTTGAATTAAAAATAATTCTAGATGTTCAAAAAAGTCTTGTTGATAATATTTATAAAGCTGTATTACTATGGATAAAGAAAGCATACAAATGGTAAGTTACAGAATGTTGGTAATAAAAAACATGAACCAAAGGTGGTTATAGTTTTATAAATTCTCTGTATTGTTCCATGTCTAAGAAAGAGGTGGAATTACCCCATGGATAGAAAAATTTTATTGTCTCACTCTATTAACGGTGAAAAGTTAAAAAGAAAAAGTTTTATGAAAAAAAAGTAAATCAAAAAACATTTTGGTAATAAAAGTTTAAAAAATAAGTGTATAAACAAGAATAAAAAATTTAAATAAATAAAAATAATAAACAAGAAAAAAACACCGAAACAAATAAAAACAAAGTTAAAAGAAAATAGTCTCCGAAAATGGAAAACAATTTTTGCTGCCGACAATATTTTATGGAAAGAAAAAAAAAACAGTTTTAATTAATTTTGCACATAGTTTATAAGTCGTGTATTTATGCATATAAAAGTTGTTGATTGTATTTTTTTGCATTTTTCTCTGTAAATTTAGTTGTTGTTGCTTTTTCTATATCTTTACTATTGTTTTAATGATATTTACTTTTGTTTAGTTAATCTATATAAGGCGTAATATAGGCTTTAATATTGTATGTAGTAGCGTACGTTTATACTTTTTTTTTATTTAAGTTTGCTTTTATTTTGGTTTTTTATATTTTTCAGCTAAAATTTTTTTGTCTCACTCTATCCTTCTAAACTTATGTAACTAAAATTTTTGTTTTCTCTTACATTTTTTTCTCACTCATCTTATCTCAACCGTTCATTCTCTCTTTTTTTTTTCTTTTTTTTTAGCCTTACTCTTTTATACTTTTGTTCTGATTCCAACTTTTTTATAAATTGTTGTTCCTATTACTTCTTTTTTTATTACTTGTATTAATGTAGTTTACTTTCTTTATTATTTCCTTGTTTTAATATTTTTTTGTTTATTTTATTTGTTTATTTTATCAAGGTGTCACTCCATTGACTAGTTTTTAACTACATGAGTGACACCGAACCTAACTTTGTAAATTATAATTAAATTTTTAATTTTTAATTTTATGGTTAAATAAAAGGATAATTAAAAAAGAGTTATTCTACCTTACTCAACCATTCAAAATAAAGTTGTGATAAAAGAATATTTTAATGGTTTTTAAATTTTGCTTACTGCATTTAGCTATTAAATATGCAGTGTTTTAAGTCAAATACCCTTTTAACTCTTATGTTTTTTTTTATTTAGACATTCATATGGATAGTTCCATTGATGGATTTGTCGAAAAGTATGATTTAAAATAAAAATTTGAAAAAATAGTTTGGTTAACTATATATATATATATATATATATATATATATATATATATATATATATATATATATATATATATATATATATATATATATATATATATATATATATATATATATATATATATATATATATATATATATATATATATATATAATATATATATATATGTATATATATATATATATATATATATATATATATATATATATATATGTATATATATATATATATATATATATATATATATATATATATATATATATGTATATATATATATATATATATATATATACATATATATATATATATATAAATATATATATATATATATATATATTTATATATATATATATATATATATATATATATGTATATGTATATATATAAATATATATATATATATATATATATATATATATATATACATATATATATATATATATATATATATATATATACATATATATATATATATATATATATATATATATATATATATATATATATATATATATATATTTATATATATTAGAGGTAGGAACTATTTTTTTTTGAGTCATAGCCTTAAAACTATTAGTGGATTAATTACCTAAATCTTGCAAAAACATAAAAATAAAATGCATAAACTCAAAAAACCCTCTGCGCAAATTCATTTTAAAGTATCGTCAAAAATTTAAAAATTTGCTTAAAAAACTCATGTTTAACTATTATATATTGCATACATTTAAATATAAACTTTGTTTTAGATGCGTAAGATATTAGAGAATAATTTAATGGGACATATTGAAGGCCCTTCCAATATTTCAAAGCCGAAAAATTGCATTTATGGAAAATTGATTCAGAAGTCACTGATGGATTTTTCAAAATTATGTAAGCAGATATTATGAAGATATAATTTCCTTTTAGAATCGGGTAACGTTCCTAGATCAAGTGATGTTATTAAAGAAGTTTTAATTGAAGTTTTTCAATTATGGAATAAAATTTTACGGAGAAGATAATAGAACAAGTAATGATAACATAATCCCATTGAAACATGTAAAGGTTATTGGTAAAATGGTAGCTAAGATGTCTGAAAATGAAGGGTATCCAATAAGTTGTATGGCAAATATTGCAATGCAATTGGTGAGACATCCACTTGCAGATCCGATTTGAAAAACGCACCTACAACATTTGTGCATAAAATAAGTTTGATTCGGTCTTATATTGTCTCATTTGAAGAAATTTAGTCGACGTTTTTAAACAAATGCAGATAGTAAAAGCATTGACGAACATCATTATAATAGCACTTGCATTTTAAGAAAGTCTAAATCTTTGGTTATATCTTTGAAAAAATTAGAGAAAGTCAACTCTGTTTCTATTTATAACATGTTACACAATATTATTTCGGAATTTAATTTATTAATCAATTTTGTTGTAAAATGTGATACCTTTGCAGTAAAAACAGGTTCTGAAAATGGAGTATTTGAACGTTTGAGAAAAATTGTTCCAGGTTTAGTTTATCATTCTTCTCGACTATATATTACTATATTCTTGATCTTGATTCCTTATCAACATCACTTAATATTAACTATTATGCTTAAGAATTTGGTTGAGAGCATGAAGTTAATAGAATATGAATACAATAGACATGAAGATTACTCTAAATCTCGAGCAATTTTTATCAATGTCAGATATTATTTAAATGAAAATATTATTTAATAAATTGAATTCCAAAATAATGTTGCCTATAATTTTATAAATAGATACAGAGTTGCCTTACTTTAATTTTTTGGAGTATATAACCAAAGATTTAGACTTTCTTGAAATGCAAGTGCTATAATAATGTTGTCTGTCGATGCTCTTACCATCTACATTTCTTCAAAGGAGTTACTAAAATTTCTTTATAAGAGCCGATATAAGTCCGAATTAAACTTATTTCATGCACAAATGTTGTAGGTGCGTTTTGCAAATCGGATCTGCAAATGGATGTCTCACTAACTGCATTGAGTACAGCTTTTGCAATATTTGCCGTACAACTTATTGGATACCATTCATTTTTAGATATCTTAGCTACCATTTTACGAGTAATCTTTGCACGTTTTACCATCTTGTGTAAGCATAAGATTTTGGATTTTTTTACACTAATCTGCCATTTATGGAACCAACAGATTTTTCAGAACTTCTATCTACCTGTCTCATTTTCCCAACCACTTTCCCATAATTGAAATGATTTAAAGTTAAAGTAATTAAAAATATAGTAAAATAAATTACGAGTAAGAATGTGAATAAAAATATCTTTTCCTAATCCTTAACAGACCAGTAATGATAATTTTGAGCCTACTCCATCTTCATAAAGAATTTAGTTTTAGTGTCTTTGCTGGATGATGACACACCGATCTCTCTTCTTTAGCCTTCTGCAAATGGTTTGATCTGGTGCAATAACACCAGCTTCATAAATAAGCCTAGTCAATACTTTTTTTGTCTTTTTCATGTTCTCCAGGCAAATGTTCAGAATGATTCCGTCTGCTTTTTGTGTTGTTTTGGATTTAAAAAGTGGTCTCCCTTCAACTAACTCTTCTCCAGTATCAATTTTTTTCTCATTCGCTTTTTATCTTGGTGAAATATTTTTATAATTAGTGCACATTTTCTCTGAGATTATTGAGTATTCTTTTGAATACACTATTAATTCTACTAATTTTTGTAAGTACAATATAACATTTTTTCATCATAGCTGAAAATCTAAATTTAGAACTTCAAAAATGAAAACATTGGTATCTTTAATTCAACAAACAAAATAAAACAAAACAAAAAAACCAACAATAAATCTTTTATTTAAAGATAATCACTTACTAGTCATCTTTGTTTTCACATAATGACAAAAAATAACATCATATTCTATCAGATAAGAATTTAAGCTATACATTTGAAATCAATTGTATAATTAATGTAGGGTCCTAATGTGATGGCTAAAAATAAATATATATGACTCTTTCTCTCTCTCTACATATCAGTGGCGGATTTAGTATAAGGCATGGGGGGCGAGCTACCCCCACGCCTCCCTAGAGCGGTCTTACGGCGCCCCCTGAAACAATCAAATAATAATAATTATGAGATCAAATTACTGAAGACAACCCCGGTCACTCCTAATCATTGACTTGGCCCCTTCGCTTGAAATATGTTTATAACCAATAAGTAAAAATATTTGTCAACAAAATAAACAACAAACGAAATATTTTCTTCTTTTAATTTTACAAAAATTACTCTAATTATAAATTTTAGCACTAGAGGCCTTTCAAAAAATCATCAGTAGTGCTGTTTTTGTTATTGTAACAACAAAATATAATTTTTAAAAAAACAGGAAATGATAATTATTTAATGTTGCTACTAGCAACTATTGTAATCTATATTATAATGTCAACTAAAAGTATAATGTTTTTGCTTGTGAAAATGTTTCTCATAAAAAATTAGGTTTTTTTCATTTTTTAGCTCCACAAACACAAAAAGCTGGAAAAAAGGTTCTATAATGAATATTATTACATTACAGAATGAATATTACATTAAATGAATATTATTACATTACAGAATGAATATTACATTAAATGAATATTATTACATTTATAGTTCTATAATGAATATTATATATATATATATATATATATATATATATATATATATATATATATATATATATATATATATATATATATATATATATATATATATATATATATATAGAGAGAGAGAGAGAGAGAGAGAGAGAGGGAGAGGGAGAGAGAGAGATAAATAGATAGAGAGAGAGAGAGAGAGAGAGAGAGAGAGAGAGAGAGAGAGAGAGATAAATTGATAGAGAGAGAGAGTTAATAAAAGGTTTTTAAGATTTTAACGTCCTAATAACAGGTTTCGTTATATGATCCTCTAGCCACTTCACTGTTCGTAAGATGTTTTCAGCCCTACATAAATTTGTTACTTAGTTTATAAAGGTCATTCCTTTTTAAAACAAGGCTTTTCAATATGCCGCAACAATTAATTTTTGAAAAACTTTATCATTTCAGAAAAACGAGTTTGCGTAGAGGGTTTTGTGTAGAGGATTTTTAAATGACTTTTTGTACTACTTCTCCACCAGTAGTAATAGAGCAAATTGATTTCAAGAAAAAAATGTAAAATAACTCCTATCTCTAGTGTATGTATAATAATATAATAATTAATATTTTCTAATCATCCCACCTATCATAAAATTATAGATTTCGTATTTTGTGTAGATTAAATAAATGAATTATAAATCCCTAGAGCATCCCTCTAGTAAAAAACCTATATTAAAAAAACAACTAGAGGTCCGTTTTATTTTAAAGAGACTCTCACCGTAAAATAATGAGTTGAGTTTCACATCAAACGTCATTAAGCAATCAAAAAACAATGGTATATTTAAACATTTTATTTTTAAACAAGTCTTACTTTTTTGTATTTACCAACTTTTAAATAATTGAAAAAAAATTTGGTCACAATACCTTCCAAAATGTTTCACTTTCGTTTATAGACTTTAATGCCGGCGCTTTACAATTCCTAAAATTAGCATCGCGATGTCCTTTCCCAAACCACTTAATGACATAGTCCTTTGGGTCGAAATGCGTAATTGGTGGAACTACTAATGAAATGAACATTAAACTCGACACAGTTTTTATTAATAAAAAGTTTCGCAAGGAAGATAAGATTATATTCACAGTAGAAAAAGAACGCTCACATTCAGCAGTTGAAACAATCAAGGTATTTATAGCAGTTCTCAGAGGCTGAAGATCATTAGGGATTTTATTACAGTCACCAGTGGAAATGTATTCACGACTTGGACTGCCGTAATTTCACAAATATTTAAAGTTTTTGCTAATTGTCTAATATCGTTATCTCCAAAGCATAGATCTTGGTCTGCAAACCATTGTGGCTTATCAAAAATTTGAAAATTTTTTATTAAATTATCATATTTTTCTTTGTTCGGATCAT